AAAAGTACTTAATTTTTATTTTTTAAATTTCCCTTACCAAAATTTGAGTTGCCGTTGGTGAAATCACTTCTAAGTCAAACCATAGAAAGTAAAGCTTTCCCTTTCCCTCCTTTCCCGAGACCTCCCCTCACAATCACCATCCTTCCTATCACTTAAACTCTCAGGAGCAGAACGGTAGCCATGGCTAGTATCTAAATACGTGGGAAGGGGATGACTCAGTCTTCTCCTTTGAAAAGAAGCATTATCAGAACATGAGGAAACAAGTAAGAATATTCTCTACCACGGTAGAACATTAGTGGCCATAAACTTTAAATTGCTCAATAGGACCTTTGGAGCAACCTGACTCCTTAAAACATGGAATTTGCTTTTGGAAATTCAAATGTGATTCAAAAAAAAAAAAAAAAAACTGATTAGATTCTTTAGTTTCTGCCCTTGTCAGCTCCCATTCCCTACAGCTACATGCACCAAAGACTGGATATCCAGGGACATTTCTGTGAGGAAGCATTGCCTTTAAGTACAGAATGTTTTCCAGAAGAAGCCTTTGCCCTCAGTCGCTTGTAGAATTCGAACTACAGTCAGGATTTCCCAGTCTCAGCCCAGACTGGGAAGCCCTAGGATTCTGTGTACTGCCCATCTTAAAGCACCGGGAGGTGGAGGGGGGGCAGGGTACCCTAGTCTGCAGGTGCTTTCCTGCAGCTCCTGAGATCCCCTCCCTCATGCTGCCACTTGGCTTATCTTTTGCCAGACCACCTGGAGCAGGGGCATCCATCCTTCCCTTTTCTGTACTAGTCGACTTGCTGAATACAGACAAGTGCTCCGCCTCGGCCATTTCACTGCCCTCCCTCCAAACTGGACCAGCTGGTAAATTTCCTAATACACAATCATTTCCTGGTTCTGGAGATTGCATGGGCATTACCACTGACTACAATACATTTGGGTAGTTTGTCATACACTGCTTGTCTACAAAATGAGATTAGGTAGTTGTGTTCCAAATACACATCCAGTTTTAATGTAGTGAAAGCCATAAGTATTTTGTAGACAAAATTTAAAAAGCAGTTATTTCTCGTTTGAATGAACTGAGATTAAGTTTCATAATGGGAAGAATGAGCCTTAGGAGCGGACACTTGAGTGTGTGTTCGGTTGCCAACAAGGAAGGAAAAGGGTGAAGAGGGAAGAGAGAAGGAAAAGTGGGAGTGGCGGGAGTGGAAATAAATGATTCCTGGTGGAGTGGCACACCCTATAATCTCAGCACTGGGGAGGTAGCAGGAGCATCAGCAGTGCAAGGTCTTGTTTGTCCTACAAAGTGAGCCCCAGAGCCAGTCTAACCTAGAGACCATCCTATCTCAAAGAGCTGGGGCAGCAGAGCCCCCCCCCCAAAAAAAGGCAGGGAGAAAGGTCTAAAAAAATGTTACTTGGCATCATGACCTTGTTTCTGGCACTCCCCCCCCTTTGTTTTCTTAATTTGTACTGAGTGTGTGTGTGTGTGCGCGCGCGCACTTGTGTGCACACTGGTAGGCAGGCCCTTGTGGAAGTTAAAGGAAAGATGCAAGTGTTGTTCTTGTGGTGTACTATGGGTTTTGTTTGACTTTTTTGTGACATGAGGATTTTCACCTAGTGTGCTGGGTTGCCTGACCAGGGAGCTGCGGGGATCTGTCTGTCTCTGCCTCTCCAGAACAGGGATTATAAGCATGGGCCATCCACCTGCAAGGCAAACACTAACCGATTCAGCTTCGCCTCCCTTCTCCCTACTCCCGTGAGCACTTTCTTGAGGTGTAACTTTCTATGTAGTAACAAATTTTCACTTCTTCTTTTTCTTCTTTGTTCTTCTAACGCTTCAGTTTCTTTTGGGGGGGATATTTAAATAGTTCAGATAGTTCGTTCTAAAACTTTCTGTTCTTGTTTAAAGTAGTGTCTGATGTCTAGGTGGCTCTTATGAAAACTAGGGCTGGTTACAAATACATCATAACAACAAATGTAGCCCAATACCAAGCCCAGGACAAGATGGTTGCAAGGCCAAGTAGACCTTCTGATTCAGCTCAATAGCAATTTGACCTCCCAAGCATCTGCCCTGCTGAAGTAGAACACCAAACATGAAGTTGTTGTGTGAACAGTACAGACTTGGTGCACAAGTGTGCAGCCTGAGAGGACGAGCTGAGAGGTCTGAGTCAGCAGTGGAGACGGCAGCAGGTTCTGTGCGCGGAACAAGTTGGGAGGGAGTTACTTGTCACTGCGGGCTGAGCTCTGGCGGCATCCGTTCCCCACAGTTGGACCTGCTTTAGTGATTGTTATGTTTGCTCAGCACTTCACAGTTCAATTTAGGAAATTAAAACAATCAAGACTACTACAAACACATGATGACTGAAGGCAAGTTCTGTCCTGGTTAAACAACGTGAAATACATTAGTGTTGAGGATTATCATTTAGCTTTAGGGGACTGCTCTACTGACTACATTCGGATAGTAGGAGACATTTGTGTTTTCGGTTGGATAGTTTTTCAAATTCCAGGTGTCTCAATGTTGTCTACTGCTTTGTGTTTCATATAGAAAGAACATGAGTGCTGAATTGAACGTTCAGGTGCCTGGTCGTGAGGAAGAGCACGTGATGCTGAGAGCTGGTCTAATTGCTTGATGAAGTTGCCCTTGGTGTCAAAAATACCTAAAGTGTTCTAGACCCATAAAAGGCAAATTTTTCAGATTAATCTTTCCAAAATCAATTACCTTAAAGGTCAACATCACATTCTCAATTACTTACCAAATCTACTTAGTTATGTAGTTTATGTATGGCCTGCAGTTTAGCATTCAGAGAAAATATTGACATTAAGCCTTTGGTTTGGGGTTGAATGGGGTGGGTTTGATTTTTTTTTTTTTTTTTTTTTTGAGACAGTCTCAAAATATCTTAGGTTGGCCTTGAACTTGCTATGTAATATTAGATGACCCTAACCTCATGCTTCACCTCCCCGATATAGGCTTACAGTTATGTGACATCATGCCAGATGATATCATGTGTTTTATGCGTTTAAATTTGCAATACCACCTGACCTAAAGAATAAAGAGGCATTTTCATTACAGTAAAATACTGAATTAATAAATTTTTAGTGTGTATCACTCCACACCAGTTAGAATATCTGTAATAAAGTAGACATTGATAAGAGTTCAAAGAAATGTGGTGAAACTGTCATGCCCTTTGTTGCTGGCGGGGTGTAAAATGATACAACTGTATTAGGAAATGTCTGAAAATTCCTCGAACAGTTAATATGGTTCCTTTCTAAGCACAAGAAATGGAAGCACATTTCCAAAAGTTTGCATACAAATGTTCATATGTCATCATATCTCAACTGTTCACCAACTGTTAAGTGGAGAAGCGGATCGGGTGTATCCATAAAGTGACATGAGAAGAATGCAGTATTGATTCGTGCTACAATGTGAGAGAGCCTTGGAAACATCGAATCCCGCTAGGAATCCATTTATTTGAGGCATTCACAGTAAGCAAATCCATTTAAAAAAGAAAAAGACTAATAGTTGTCGAGGCCATTGGTAGAGAATAACTCAAAAGACACATACCAAGAAGCCAGGCATGGAGAGATGCATTGTCATCCCCAGCACAAGAAGACTCCTGACTGGGGAGGTTGCTGGCCAGCCAGCCTAGCCTGACCAGTGAGAGGCCTCAGGGAGGCCTGGTCTCATAGCACAAGATGGACAATTCCCAAGGAATGGCACCCCTGCTTTACCTTTGGCCTTCACATGCATTTGCACACACGCATATATACACACTAAAAATATTGTATCGGGTGGCAAGTGGTGAATAACTTTGTGAACTTATTAATTACTCTTGAATTGTTCCTACTTTAAATGGTGAGATTTGTGGTTTATGAATTATATTTCAACATATAATTTTGCCAATATGTGCTTTTCCGTATAAAGAATATGTGTGTACATGTTTGTCTACACATGTATTGGGGGCATGGTGTGCACTGGGTATGGAGGCCAGAGGTCAATATCAAGTGTCTTCTTCCGTTGCTCTTGACCTTATTTTTTGAGGCAGGGTCTCTTGCTGAACATGAAATTAATTTAGCTACACTGGGCAGCAAACAAGCACCAGAGATCCTCCTGTCTCTGTCTTCCCAATTCTGAGACTAGGAATGTATACCATCATGACTTTGTTTGTGGATACCGGGGATGTGAACTCCAGCCCTTTGCTTACGCAGCCAGCACTTTATCTGCTGACCCATCCCTCCAACCCCTAAACCAGTATTTTTAATGAAATTGTAAGCACTTGCCATTACAAGGTATATCATATGCACTGCCTGGAACCCTCTCTAGCCTGCATGTGAGACACTATTGCCAAAGATAAGTATGCCAAGAGTGAGGTGGCCTTTAGCATGTTCTTAGATTACACACACACACACACACACACACACACACACACACACACACACACTGAATCACTTACCACTCTTGGATTTTCATGTTTTATTTTCCTATATTCCCCAGAAGACTGTAAGTTTCTTAAGAGAAAAAGAACAACTCTTTGACTAATGTAGTCCCATTATTGCTTATAGTTACTAGCTCAATATTTGAATAAATGAATTTTAATAACATACATAACATTTTAATGGGCTCATAGGGGCTGTGTGAAAAGAATACATTGTGTCTGCTTTGCTTTCTCTTAGAACACAACATGGAATATTTTCAAAGTTAGACTATGTTGTGATTTATATGTTAATTAGAAATGTTTTTGCTAGTTATACTTATGAAATAATGAGAATGTTCCTATCTGTGTTAAATATACCATTTGATAATTGGCACATAATTTTCTTGTACTATTCAAGCAGATATTTTAGTATGTATTCCCATACATATGCCTAACTAAATTATAAAAGCTTTTCTGAATAAAAATAAATCATTAATTGTGTAATCATAATATGGTGATGTGGAAATGAGGTTTGCGCATCCATCAACTTTCCACCTGCTCTAGAAGGCCCATCACGTTCTCTTCTTTCAGGTACAGAGAGCTCCAGCTTAGCGCCGAAAGCAAAGTATCGGAATTTCTCCATCAGAGTAAGTTGAAGGCCTTCGAGAGTGAACGCATTCAACTCCTGCAGGAGGAAACTGCAAGAAACCTCACACAGTGCCAGATGGAATGTGAAAAGTATCAGAAGAAATTAGAGGTACCTCTGTGCTATTCTCCTTCAGTGTGAGCAGAGAGTGTAAGCTTCCTCAGTATGACACTTTCATAAAGCCACATTCTCCCTCACAAGAAAGGAAGGAAAAAGCCAGGAGTAGTCGAGCATAGCTGGAATTGTAGCACGTTGGAGGCTGAGACAGGTGATGAGTCTGAGGTCCACATGACAGCCAGAGCTACGTAACAAGAGCCCGTTTCAAACCCAACAGAGCAGTAAAAGAAAAGATATATGAATAGCAGTATATGTGACCAAAAGTGACTAAAATTGTTTTTCAAAAGAATTTAGCAAAGGTTTCATTAATACTGACAACCAAAAGCACATGATTGCTGGGAATACTTATTGTAAGCAAAATGAAGTCACTCTGAAGAAAACGGTAGAACTATAATGTGTATATGAGACAAAACACAGTCCTTCTGAAAGGTTGGTATTTTATGTTTTTCAGTTTTCATCAAGAAAACTGTTTCTAATATTTTAGCATTTAAAATTTTACATTTGCTTACTTTTGTGCACAAGTGTGCACATACTTGTGCACACTGTATGCATGCTTGGGTATGTGGTAGAGGGCATTTGGAAGTCAGAGGACAACTTACAGTAGTCAGTTCTTTCCTTCTGCAGTATGGAGCTTGGAAAATAGAGCCAATTTTCAGCATATCTTTAACCCAGCAAAGTAATTCTGTGGTACAAGTGGAAGAATAGAGAACAGTCAATATTTTTTTAAGATTACAAAGTAGAAGAATAGATAAAGAATAGTCAATATTTGTAAGATTACTAAAGAAATGAGAAAACATTTATTACATTTTTAAAAACATGATATTTAGATGTCAGCTAAATTTGAACATTTTACATTTTTAAAATAGAGCCCAACCATACACAGTGCCAAACTGTTTTCCAAAAACAATATGCTCATCTAGAATATACAGATGTTTTAAAGTAGTGTTGAAATGATAGATCAACAAGTGGCTACAAAATTATTTTAGTATTTCATACATACATACAAGATCCATATATTTTATAAGCTAGAAAAATTCTGCACATGAATGTATTTGGTTATGAAACATGCAATTATAGGTCAATACAAAATGGGAGATAATGAAACTTGAAATTAGTCATTTAAAAACCTCTCCTGGGGGCTGAAGAGATGGATGTCTCATCAGCAGCTAACTCTACTGGCTGCTCTTCCAGAGGACCCAATTGTATTCTCAGCAACCACATGATGGCTCACAACCATCTATAACTCCAGTTCCAGGAGATCCATTGCCCTCTTCTGCTTCCAGTGGTGTATACACACACTTAGGCAAAACACTCACACATATAAAAATAACATCTAACTTATAATGTGAATCAATTATAGAATTTTTCTAGCTTATAAAATGTATGGATCTTGTATGTATGTATGAAATACTAAAATAATTTTGTAGCCACTTGTTGATCTATCATTTCAACACTACTTTAAAACATCTGTATGTTCTAGATGAGCATATTGTTTTTGGAAAACAGTTTGGCACTGTGTATGGTTGGGCTCTATTTTAAAAATGTAAAATGCTTCATGCACAGTTGCTCATCACAATGTTATTTACAATAGTGACGAACGTGGCCCTGAAAATCTCACTATGGTCCCATTCAAAACACCTGTGTGTTACAGTATCAATTGATATTTTAAGATTTTACAATGTATAAAATATTTTCATAGTAGATGCATAGACCCTCATGTAACTATATACACTGCTGCTCGGGTTGAGGATATAGTTCAGTGGCAAAGCTATTGCCTAGCATGCACAATCTCCAATACCATAAAATAACCATAAAAATTTTTTGATTTATTATTATTGTGTGTGTGTGAATGATGTGTGCTGATGTGTGGGCATATGTGCCTCTGCACATACAGGAAGGTGAGAGGAAAACCTAAAGAATTATTTCTCTCCCACCTTTACGTGGGTCACAGAGATTGAACTCAGGTCACCAGACTTAATGCAGTAAGTGCCTTTATCTGCCAAGCTGTCTGGCAAGCCCCACACTTTTTAAAAAAGAAAAAAGTCAGCAAATGGACTCAGCAGGTTGTACGTGTATTTATGTAGTAACAGTCAAAGAATTTGTATCTCTTAATCCTTTTTAAGGAATTTTTTAAGAAACCCTTTCTTTGCAAAGGCATTTCTGCTACTGCCCTATGTGAGCTTACATTTACTTTTTGACTTGGACCCAAGCCTGCTGGGAAACCAAAAATGCTAAAAGCGTGGCCAGGGCAGGTCGAGTAACTCAGTGGAAACTGGAGAGCTCATCACACTGTCCTTATGCAGTTCTGTGCTGCCTAAGAAGGGACCCCACGTAGATTTCACACTGCTGCATCTCTGGGAACTCTAACAAGCAAATGCTAACCTTGCCCCTCGGTTCTTTGAACTAAAGCATCAGAATTATTTACCTTAGAAATAAATGTCATTTTCGCGTTTGTCCTCTGAGTTGAGCTACTTTTTCTTAACATTTGAATAGCTGAAAGGCGAAACGGCTTTAATATATCTCTGCATCATCTTTTAGCTGGGAACCTGAATAATTCTGACTTCTTTGGGCTTTTGTCATTCTTTTCTTCCTCTTTAGGTTTTAACTAAAGAATTTTATAGTCTCCAAAGCTCTTCTGAAAAACGCATTACTGAACTCGAAGCGCAGAACTCTGATCATCAGGCAAGGTTAGACATTTACGAGAAATTGGAAAAAGAGCTTGACGAAATAATAATGCAGACAGCAGAAAGTAAGTCTGCCCCACCCCCTCTGCTTACACTGTGGACAGTTTTCCTTCTTCTGGCTACAGAGGAAAGCTAGCATCATCTCGAAAACTACCTTGGTATAAATATATATATTGAAAATATAAGTGATGATCATTTTTAAAGAATACTCTCTATTTTCAGTATTTCTTGATATAAGTTTTCAGTAGCTAGACTAAAAAAGTAAATAGGTTAAATTTAATAGATTTTATGCTTAATTCACTCATTCTATAAGTACTAAATTTTCTGTCTGTCAAGAGCTAGGAATACAAAGTTTGTAAAATTTTTTGTCTTGAGACTGGACATGGAGCTCACTGGTAGAGTGCTCGTCCACGCTTATAAGTTTTGGATTCAGCCCCTAGCACAGCAGTGAAAACCAGAAACTGATAGTGGTCACTGGGATACACTCTTGTAATCCTCCACTCAGGAAACTGAGGCAGGATGATGTCCAGTTCTAAACCAGCCTCAACTCTGTATTAATTAAACCTTTGAGATGAGAAATAACTAAAAGGGGAGGTGATACATGAATTCAATAGCGTACTAGATTATAATCTTTGATATTTAATTTTCATGTGTTTGCCCTCCCATCATACTGCCTTGATTTTCTTTTTTATTTCTTTTCTTGTGTCACCTGTGCTGGGCCTCACACGTGTTTGGTATAATGGATGAACTTGAGCTGAACCTCCTCCTTTCCAGCCCCGGCTGCTGGGATTACTATAGCTGCACCTTGCTTACCTTATGTGGACTGGATATTGACTTTGGGGCTCTATGCAACACTCTAGCAACTGACTCTGTCATTTTTTGTTGTTGTTGTTGTTGTTCCTTTTGTTCCTGTAAGTTTTAATTTTGAGACAGATTGCTCACAGCCCAGATCAGCCCAGGCTGATCTTGAACTTGTGATCTTCCTTGCCTTGGCCTCTCAAGAGCTGGGAAGACAGGACTGTGCCACCATATTCATCTGTCTTATCTGAAATTTTAAGGGATGTTTTAAATTAACATTTAAATTAGCATTTACTATGGCTGTACCTTATTTCTGTTCAAAGTTTAGAATTGGCTTTCTTATAAAAGTGGTTTGGAACTTCCCTTGAACTGGATTAGAATCTAGGTAAGGTCCTAATGGTTTGCGATGCTCTTCATGTCGGGTTACATTTTATTTAAACGTCTTATCTCATTTCTGTCGTTGTCAGCCTCTGACGACCACAGTAGATCCCAGAGTGAGCTGCAGCTTCTTCACTATGTCCACATGACCTTTGTAAAACCCAGGCTTGACCCTACGTGTGCCTGCTTAATGTCTCTCTATTGTTTTACTAAATCAGCACACAGTACTGGGTGGGAGCTGAACACTCATCAGTAGTCCAGTACTCAGTCCTTTTAAGTAAGAGGGTCACATGTTCAAGACCAGTATAGACTACTTAACAAAACCCTCTTCAAAAATAGCCAAATACATAGAGTCAGGCATGCTTGTATGACTTTATGATAAGAGTCCTGTTTATCTGTCTAGCTTTCATGTTTCACTTTGCCCTTTTTTGTCACATTATTATCTAAATGTCCATACTCTTATAATTGTTTTACTTGACATATGTCATCTTGTCTAAGCAGATTAGTAATAGAAGTGTTTCTCTGTTGAAGGATAGCTACAGACAACCCACGGCTACTGTTAAACAAGTGGAGTGAATGCTGAATGTGTTCTCCACTAGAGAGAACAGGGCACAGGTTTCTACTTTCACAGCATAGTAAACTGTGTTTGAGCATACTAATGAAATCAGGCCAGAAGGGAGGCACGGTCTTGTGAAGATGAGAGCTGGGATGTAACTCAGACTTAGGTTCTTGGACAGAGTCAAGCGCAGCACTGCATACACTGGTCAGGAAGATGGAGCAGGCAGACTCCAAGTTTAAGATTCTGAGGCGTGGGTGGAGGGTGCGAGGAAGGAGACCAGAAAGCAAAAGATGGCCTTTTCATTGTCAAATGAAATGACTACTAAACCTAAATAAATGTACCAAATATAAAGTATACACACAGACACACATACAAATTTAAAACCCTGAACTGAAAAAATAATATAAAATTAATTTCCTTAGCTGGGTGGTTGTGGTGCATGCCTTTAATCCCAGCACTCAGGAGCCAGAGGCAAACAGGTCTCAGTGAGTTAGATGTCAACCTACAGAGTGAGTTCCAGGACAGCCAGGGCTGTTACACAGAGAAACCCTGATTCGAAAAACCAAACTAATAATAATAAGAAGAATTTTCTTTAGTAATGTCAAAAAAAATGAATTCTTAGGAATCAGCTTACCAACACTAAAAAGACAAAATACTAAGAGAAATAAGGAATCTCTCCCAACTGCCAAGAAGTTTATCATGAATTCTGTCCATTTGGTCTGACTTTGTCTTGATCCCAATTCCTACATGCTCTTTCTATATTTCTGTTTATGGAAATCCAAAGATTGTAAAAGAAGAACCAAAGGGGCAAAATTACAAGAATGGCTTTCTCTGACTTTAATATTGTTTGTAAAGGTACGGTGTCTAGCTACATTACAGCAGTAATATTATAAAGACAGACACAACAGTGAAACAGATCCATGTGCACATGTGTGTTTGCTCATCAACAAAAGCAACAGAACAGTCAGTAGGAGAAGAGAAACTGTCCAATAATGGCACTTAACCTTGGCCATCCTAATGCCAGTGTGCCTCACATACCAGTGTCACCTTGAATCGAGACCTCTGTGGAATATCTGAAGCTGTGAACCTTCTGCAGAAAAGGAAAGAATCAGCCCCACTTGCAGTAGGATAAGATCTTGAGGATAGGGCCCGAAAGCAATTGCTATGGAGAGCTAGGGAAGTCATCATCAAAATCATTCAGAAAAGATGATTAATAAATGAGTTCCCAAGCCACAGACCTGAGTTTATTTACCATGGAACAAAATCCTTAGCCTATAAAGATTTTCGTTCCAATCACTATTAGAGCTAAGCCTCCTTTTACCAACACTTTAAATCTAGCCATATTTGTCACATTTATTAACACTGTGTACTCCACAAGATTATGCCTCTGCAAATATAATTCTCTGCTGTGCCTTCTCTTGAATATCAATTTCCACGTCTTGCTAATGGCTTCTAGGAGAAGAAATGGTGGCTGGCACTCATGTAAGTTGCTTTGCGCTCTGCTTCTATGGCATACTGACATTCAGTCTCTCTAGTATCACTTCCCATGTTGTATGGGCCTCTGTTTTTCTAATCGAATCCTAGAGTAGTTACTGCATGAGGTGTTAACATTACGCATTAAACTCTGATTTAGCACTTGTATCAATATCTAACTATGCCAACTAGCTTTACCTCTCTCTGCTCTGAATTTAGAGCCATTTAAGACAGACAGGAATCAAATATATATTTGGCTTTGTTCTAAATCTGAATGTTAGTTGTGCCTGTTAATATTAAGAGTACACAAATGCACACACACACACCAGTAAAAAAAAATGGCATTGCATTTAAACATTCATGCATTAAGAAGCTAATTCATTAGTTCAGATCCATTATATGTTGTTTTATGACAGTTGCAATATTTTTTAAATTATTTCCCTGAAATTGTTCTGCAGTTACAAATGAATGCCCAGCATGTCTTTCATGGGCAAGAGATCAGCTCTGAGGGGAGATTTTCTGCCTAGCATTTAAGAAGCTTGGGATTCAGTCCTTGGTACCATGGAAAAACAGCATGGTTGTATATTTCTGTGATCCCAGTTCTCAGGAAGTGAAGGCAGGAGGATCAAGCCTCAGGGCCATCTTTGACTTAGCAAGTTCAAGGGAAGCCTAGGCTAAATGAGAATTTGTCTCCAAAGCAAAACAAAATTAGCCTTTATTAAATCAAATCTATAATTTTGTTGAATTATAATCTATACTTAATGTTAGGAAGCCCTTGGACCCTTCAGAATGACAAACCTGACTTGCTGTGCTCTATAGGAAACATAGCCTCTCAGGAGATGTGATCCTTTAATATCTTCTCAAAATAATCAGCAACTCCAAGCAAGGATACACTTTAATATGCTTCACCTCTCTCAAATTATGCATTAGCCATTTCGAATGTTCTTGGGATTCTTAATTTGTTATCATAATTTTTTATTTTCACGTTAGCTATGCTTTTTAAGGAGAAACACTATTTCACAGCACGTATTTTAATATCTTTCAGTTGAAAATGAAGATGAGGCTGAGAGGATTCTTTATTCCTATGGCTATGGTGCTAATGTTCCCACAACAGCTAAAAGACGACTAAAGCAAAGGTAAAATCGATATAGATTTATCTTATCTACTCAAGCTAAGTGTAATTGCATAGTACATTTTGATAATGTACTGAGTTGAATGATAAAGTTATCTGTTCTTAATATTCATAAATATTAAATTGCTCACAAAGTAGAACATGGTAATAACCATGAGCTTCATCTATATTTAAGTGAATTTAATGACTAGTAGATGTGAACATTAGAACTTTCATGGTGGTAGATGCAGTAACTTTTTAAAGGCCATTTTATTTTCACACTAATTTCAGGTAAATATAAATGCTTTGTAGCAGTAATTTTCAGGTTGGAACTAATTTACTATGCACCTTTGTCGGAGCCCGTTTGGGTCCAACACAGATTCTCTAACTAGACTGGAACGGAGTCGCGAGGAATAATCAGACACAACTTACATGGTCATCTTGGAAAAGGCCAGCATCTCCGTTTATTGTCCCAACATCTTATATATCCATCCCAAATGAGCGGGAACACACAAAGGCTGTTGCCTGGGCAACCAGGTGCCTGGGCTTTAGTCACGCCTAGCAGTCAGGTAGGCCCTGAATTAGCATCTCTATAAGATAACCTTCAAATTGCATAAGGAAAGAAACCCCAAACATCCTGACCAGTTTCAGTCAACACCTCTTCTCAGGTAAT